TTTTGATCTGCACACAGCAGCACATGTTGGACTGTTTTAGATTTTTAAACTGCTTCTGTCCACTGGCTATTTTTCATCAGGCTATGTAAATAGAGACAGACTGACAATCTATATTTACACTTTACTACTTTTTCAGTCATCACTTTATTGAATATTGAATTTACTGATATATTTAATATTCTTCTTCTTGGTATAACATTACCTAATTTACATAACAGTCACCACACGTATCCACAGCTTGCAGAAAAATTCAATAGTGCCAAACTCCCCACATAATAGTTGCTTTGTTTTTAGCATTAAACATCATTACACTTAATTACAACTCACAAATCTAAAATCAAGAACTAAACATAATACACATTACCGTTCAAAGGCTTGGAGTCGGTAAGATTTTCTTTGAAGAAATTAAACTTTTATTCAGAAAGAATGCATTAAATTGATCAAACGTAAAATTTAGAACGTTATTGCAAATAAATGCGGTTCTCTTGACGTTTCTATTTAAAGAATACTTTAAAAAATGCATCATGGTTTCCACAAAAAATATCAAGCAGCACAACTGTTTTCAACATTGATAAGAAATGTCTCTAGAGCACCAAATCAGCATATTAGATTTCTGAAAGATCATGTGACATTGAACACTTGATTAATGGCTACTGAAAATTCAGCATTGCCATTAAATAAATAAATGAAAAAAAAAAAAAAAATTATATATATATATATATATTGAAAACAGCTATTTTAAATTTTAATAATATTTTACAAATTTTATCAAATAAATGCAGCCTTGGTGAGTAAAAATGTAGAAATATATGTGATTATTATTAGCTGACATTATTTATACGTGTTTAATAATATATTTCAAATACTGTGTTTTATGTTTGTGTGTTTTTTTGTAGAAAACACTGTGCAAAAAAAACATACATAAAACAATTAAATATCGATTCTACATATAGGTTTATCATATTTGCTGTAAAAAATTAGTACTGGTCAATCTACATTTAAAACTAAATTAGTACAGAAGCTAATCCTTTCTGATTAGAATATGATATGCAAGACAGAAGTACACCCATTCTCTGTCTCATAAACTGCATCCAACAGTGGAATACAGTATGCCATCATGGTTTTTTCCATCAGTAGCGTAACGTTACAGGCCTAAATCATGCAAGAATTTTGCAAGTTAGGTATTGCCCCCAAGGAATAAGACCACAGAAACATTAAAGATCACACTGTATGAAGGTTATACAGGCTTTAGTTTAAAGACCATAAGCTCTTTCTATACAACAAAGCCTATATAAAACGTACATGTGGAATTTATAGACCTTTAAATGTAAAAAGATCACAATTGTGCTCATAATAAAAGCAAAAGTGGAAAGTACACCACACACATACATGCAAAGGTGAGAAGATCTTCTACCAGCAATGGCAGCACAATCATCTATCATGAATTTGTAAAGCAGCTGTTCAGGATTTAACCTGTTAACATGTTGATAGCCTAACGTGTTTCACAACTTCAAGAATCAGATCCCAAATGATATCCCTGTTTGTCCAGGAGACAGTAAAGAGTGCAGGCGAACCTCTCAGATCAAAGCAATACACACTTTGATTGCTGTAACGTTAGGTGAACCCATAGACTTTGGGTTTGCCTAATCTTACCTTTCACTAACATGAGCTACACATTATTTTACATGTGGATCTGTGAAATAGCCATCCACTTACATGAATCAGTTGGTCAACGATGTCGTCCGATGATCCAACCGTGTTTCTCTGAAGAATTTCACGAAAGGAGCCACGGATGGTCCACTCATATGACAGACACACCGAGACAACAACGTCCAAATTTACGCGGCCACAGATCCGTCCTCGCTTCTCAAACAGGCTACAACGGCCGTAGGATCAAATCGGGTCATTTTGACATCGGAATGTTCCAAAAACGACTCGGTTGAGGTACACGAAAATGTAGAAGCCGCCACTGTGGCAGGGTGCTGTTGATGCTAAGTCTAGTAACTGGAAAGCCCCCTTGGTCTGACTTCCTCAGGAAATCCCCGTCATGAAAAAAATCGTAGCTGGTTGTAAAAGGACGCCATAGAAAGAATAGGCTGCAGTGTGGCATCTGGCCGCTGGGTGGAGCCAAAGCTCATGCCAATCCGTGATAGAATCGCTTTTACTTCAGCTGCTCTTATCCACGTGTTTCTAATAGGTGATGAACTTTGAGATGCATGCATTACTGTTCAAATCTTCTGACATATCGAGTAAGTTAAAGGAGTCTAAACTGATTCTGTTCTAGGACACCTGTACGACACTTGTGATCACTTTTGATGGAACTACATTATTTTGTTGTTGTTTTGTGCGTGTGTGTGTGTATGACAAGCCACTATATGGATGAATATATTAACGCAATAATGACAAACACAATTAAACTACTAAAATACTAAAACTAAAAAACAACAACAGAACGTAAAAATAATAAACTAATTCAAAATTGTAATAAAAACTATTGGTATCTCAGTGATACTAAAATAACAGCATTGATGTACTGTACTATTCACATTTTTATTACTATTATTAAATTCCTCAAATTATAGGTGTTTTTATTATATCAATACAATTATTACAAGTATCAACACATATTTTTTCTTTGCATCATGGCAATGATTTTTTTTCACATTACAGTGAGAACTCTGAAAGGAAATACACTGAATTGTCGTAACAATATCATACAATGTAAATAAATCTTAATTTTCTTCATGCAAAACTTTTTTTTTTTCTTCAATTTGTGGTAAAATACAACCCAGAGTTGTTGTTGTTGTTTGTTAAATTCATACATTTTTACCAAGTCCTTTATTACTGAGATCCACCAATAGTCTTCCAAGCTTCTCATCACAAATAAAAATGGTAGCACTTTAGATTATGGAACAATATTCACTATTAACTAGGTGCTTATTAGTATGCATATTTTGCATGCTAATAATGCATACATTATTGCCTAATTCTGCATGACTGCATTGTAAATCCCTGAACGCTACCCAATACCTAAACATAACTACTACAACAACTATCAATAAGCAGTAAGTAAGAGTTTATTGAGGGAAAACTCGTATATAACATATAAAGATAATATAGTGAAAATGTGTTACCACTGCAATTTAATATTGAAAATGAATGGCCTAAATATAACAAAATGTGATGTACAGAGGTTGAATAACACAATGCATTTGACAGTATAAATCCCTTAAGTTTATTATGAATAATGTGACAAACTGATTACATATACGGGCCAGTCTATGACCACATTAGCTCCCACCCACACACGCAGACACACAGAACTTCACCCCAACCGTGTACATGTTATCTGCACGCATAATAAGTTTAAAAAGGAGTTCACACATGTATGGTACCATTAGTTATTAGAGAGAAAAAGTTGGTCGAAACAAGTGAGAGTGCATGTATTTTAAATAACTTATTCCATTTTCAAATTAAACAAAAAACTAACAATATGAACCCATCTAACATTTATCTCCAAACACCATAATAAATTAGGATGTGTGGAAAAACACATACAAGCATGGAATAGTAGTAGAAATGTAGATGTGCTGCCATATTTTGAAATTCTTACCTACACATGGCGATCCATATACGTTTAGACACCCCTAAGAGGGTGAAAAGCTTGACCTTGGCATGAAGAAGAAACTGTTCATGCATGCAAAACACAGTTCGAAATGAGATTTTAAAAATCCGAGCAAGAACAAAAAATACCTCCCATTCTGTTACAACACTCTGCTGTGCCTGTTCTTAGTCAACAGCTTCAGCCAAGAAACCGTTTGAGATAAAATGCATTTCAAATACACCATGTACAAGGGTCCATGATTAAACAGTATATATATATATTACGACCTAATACTAAACCAACTCACTTAGACAATATAAGAGCTGCAAATCATCTTATTTTTAAAATTATAATATTAAAATTGGTATTAAAATTATTTAAATTTCATCTACACTGGCATTTCACTGTATCTATACAGTGCAGTTTGTATAATTCACTTTTTATGCAAATAAATAGCTTAATCCAACCAGAGATCAACTAACCCCCCAAACTATTTTAAAATAGCAAATCATATAACTAGATAATATGCTACAGTAACAAAAAACTGGAAAGGGATGTTGGACTAGGACCAAGTCAAAGTCTTATGTTTATATCAAGAAAGAGAGATGGTCAAGTGACATTAAACTCCTTCAGACTCCTTAAGAGATCTTTCAAGGTCACAATTCTCTGTCCAATGACGTTGGGATGGGTATATGGGTGTTTTATTCCCCCCACAACAGACCGATCACCATTTGTGGAGAATATAACTGTTGGAGCACCAGACTGGTAGCGACCAGACAGGAACTTTACTTCTGTTGGCAGTGATGATCCTAGTTCCGTAGAGTAGCTTGGTGAAGTTTGCGCTCCTATGCGGTAGCTCCTGTGAGAGTCCTGGGTTCAATAGGGGGGTGGGAGTTGGAGGGACAGGGATGGGGGAGTATATATAGACAAAGAATAAAAAGTAGATAGAAAATAGAATAGAGCTAGTGTTAGAGGGTCAAGTTATTATTATTATTATTTTTTTTACAATAATTAAAAAGAGAACTAGCAGATAGTATAGAAAAAAAATAGAGAACGCTAGTGTTAGAGGGTCAAGTTTTTTTCTTTTAATAAATAAAAAGAAAACAAGTAGATAGAATAGAAATAGAAATATATAGAAATACATATTTAGTACTGTACCTTCTGCACAACTGCAGGTTTTGAATCTTGTTTCTCAGGTCCAGACGTAACCTTAAAAGAGAACAAATATTTTTTTATGGAGGTAGATGGTCTATAAGTTAAGTGTAGCAGTACTGACAAAAGTTAATATATCCAAATAAAATAAAATGATATAAAAAATGAAAAGTTAAAAGATAAATGCAAAAAAAAAAAAAAATTACATTAATAATAAAATATGGTAACACGATTTTATTCCTAGTTCCGTAGAGTAGCTTGGTGAAGTTTGCGCTCCTATGCGGTAGCTCCTGTGAGAGTCCTGGGTTCAATAGGGGGGTGGGAGTTGGAGGGACAGGGATGGGGGAGGAATGTCCATTACGAAGAGGCTTCACTTGAGGCAACTGAAGCCTTAATGCCTCTTACGCACAGCTGCGATATTAACTGATCTGAGCTCGTCTGACCGCTGTTGGAGAACTCAGGAAACTGAAGGGTTCTGTGTTTCCATTGCCGTTGGTTCCTGAAAATGATGATTATTCTCGAATGACATTGATAAACCAAAACCAGATGCAGGAAAAAATACTTCAATTAGACTGAGAATTTCCAGCCTGACTGGAATCAAAAGCCACATTTTGGTGGAAAAGCCCATTAACTAAGAGGTACTGATGGGAAACTGACCTCTGCCTGGTTTTCTGAAGGCCCCGGGGTGGTTCCCTCTTCGGAAGACACCTCCATCTTCTCTTCATCTAAACCCTTCCGTCCCTCCACGCCGTGCTCAGCTTCCCATTCCTGCAGTACCTCGTCCAGGTTGAAGCGACGCCGGTAATTCACAAAGAAGTTTTTCACTTGAACCACTGACTTGTTGCCGATCACATCAGAAATGGCTTGGAAATCCCGCCCGTACTTCCTTATAGCTGAGAGAGGAAACCAACGATTGTCCAGAATTTCACTACTTAAAACTTGCCATTTAAATAATCACTCATTATCCAGTAAGCCCCGCAAACATGTGAGAAATGTGGCCAAATATAGGCAAAATACCTTGTACTGCAAGCAGCTGCTCTTCTGTGGTCCAGCGGGTATTAAATTTCTGATTAGCCTGAGGAAAACAAAGCACATTTACTGCATATCCTTTTGTGAATAAAATGCATAAAAATGGTAAAGATGGCCCTCTATGAAATAATTGTGGTGGAAAGTAGTTCTAAATAATATTATTACCTCAGATGGCCTAAACTCTTCCACACCTGTGTCCAGCTTTTCTCTGAGGGCACTATTGTGCTGTTTAGTGCTCTGAATCTGTAAAAAGAGGTTATTTTTCAAACTTTTCAGTTTTAGACGGTCACATACTTCAATCAAAACTACATTGCTCTCTGTCAGATTTACATCTAGTTCTACCAATAGTCTCACTGAGATGAAAGTGATGTTGCTAAGAAGTAATAAAACGCTAACCTGTCGTTTTATGGCAATGACCTCCATATCCAGCCGTCTCAGAACACTAACTGCAGCCGGGCCACTGCCTGACATTGCCGCCACATCATCGGAGTTTAAATGCATTCCTTTAGGAGGTTTCTTCTTTGCCCTGTGTAGGTTCCTCCCAGCAAGTCCCTGTACTTCTTTCTTAACATGCATTGACTTTTCTGCAAGATTTGCTGGCTGTACAAAAACAGCGAAAACAGAGCTATTTAAATCGGTGACTGATTTAAATTGTGTTTATTGATGTACTACTTATGTACAGTCAATGAGCATTCCATATTAACAAAACAATAGATTAAAAAGAATAGAAAGTGACAAAAAAAAAAAAAAAATTACATTAATAATAAAATATGGTAACACGATTTTATTTGTCCTTGTCACGTTACATTTACTTACTATAGTATTAACAATAAATTATGCATAATTACATGCAACTAACCAAGCCCTCATCTTAACAGTAACCATATAGTAAGTACATGTAGTTAATTACTATTACTCAGTGCTTAAATGTACAATTACGCTGTAAGAAGGGCATCATAAAATAAAGTATAACCTAAAGTATTAATAGGATTTTATTTAATATATAGTTTTATTTTAATTTAAAAGAATCATCTAATTATGTTAATGCACAACTGAAAAGTTGTAAAAATGTGCAGAAAAAAAAGTCAATTTATATTACCTCTTTCTTCTCATCCTTATTTGGCTCCAATTCTGCATCCCCTGGAGAGATGCAACTATTTTCTTCTCCATCATCACTACATGAAAAAAAAGGATTAAAAGTTTCAAATATGACATTTCCTTTTCAACAATGGCAACATATTCTAAAAATAGATCATGCTAGCATTCCATGACAGCACAACTCATCTTTGATCAAGACTTTTAAAACCAAAGAAAACACAAAAAGAGACAGCAAACATCCTATTAATAACTTCATGTCATAGCTGACCTCTCCTCTCTGTCTCTCTTCTGTTTGCGCGCATGGCGGTCCATCACACTCGTTTTACTGCGCGTTTTCTTCCACGAGTAATAGAATCTAACCAAGCTTGCAATTGACTTGTCTGGAAGCTGGAACAAAAAAAAAACTTGTTTGTAATCAAACACATAAGTGATGGAAACATCTGACATACCATAAGGACACATCATTATTCATGATCAAAGCTGACACCGATCCATTTGTAACAGTCAAAGTGTTAAAATGTAAAACTTGACAGAACCCATTTGGTCTTTATATGCACCAGTGACTGTCCATTAATGAGCTGGATTTCTGAGGCTCCTTATGATTGGTTGTCACTTCAATACATGAAGATGCTGCTTCTTTCAATTGCATGTTTTATTTTAATGTTGAGAGTGGTTTCAGTCATCTCACTCACCATCTGCTGGATGCGGTGAAACGTCTTCCCATGAAAGCTGAAACCCTGTTCAAACAGCACCTTGTCTTCAACTGTCCACTCATCTGGAAAAGGGGTGAAGTTGGGGAGATCTGCCAAAGATTTTTCAATGTTGTGTTTGTGCCAAAACAGCATGCCCAATGCCTGTTAAATACAGAAAGCCACATCATGAGACTCCAATGGAAAGAAACAAACTATTTGAAATGTCAGACTTTAAAAGACGACTTATGTTTGACACCGTGAAACTGTAACTACAAGGGACATTTAATTAATGCAGCAGGGCTCCAGACATTTCTCGACCATTTTTTTCTGCCAGTGTGACTAAATTTTGTGACGTGACATGACATGTGGCCAAGTATGGTGACCCATACTAGGAATTAGTGCTCTGCATTTAACCCATCCAAAGTGCACACACACACCGTGAACACACACCCGGAGCAGTGGGCAGCCATTTTTTGCTGCGGCGCCCGGGGAGCAGTTGGGGGTTCGGTGCCTTGCTCAAGGGCACCTCAGTCGTGGTATTTAAGGTGGAAGGGAGCGCTGTACATTCACTCCCCCCACCTACAATCCCTGCCGGTACGAGACTCGAACCCGCAACCTTTGGGTTATGAGTCCGACCCTCTAACCATTAGGCCACGACTTTGAGTGCGAGCGGTCGCACTGGCGCACCCACGTCATAAGCGCTGCCATTTCTGTTGCATATGAGGAACATCAAATGGCAAGCGCAACAAAAGCGTAACGAACCCACACTACTCATTTGAGCAGCGCAGCAAACTTGTCCGTGCTCAGAACAGGTTTACTCAGGAACCTGCGTTGATCTCGCGACACTGTTACTGCACAGCGCTGCGAGATCCAATGAGAAGCGTTTGAACTCGCCGCAGAATGAAAAAAAGTTGCTGCAAGATTAGGGATATGCCGGTATCAAATTTTCATGTTGCGATTAATTGCTAATGCTTTTATCATGGTATACAGTATTATCACGGTTTAAATTTAGTTGCAAAAAAGTGTTGTCATAATACAGTATAACAGGTTTAATAACTTCTTTCTTATAACAAAAATAACTGCACATTTCAATACAATAAAGCAATACGCAAAAAATTTTTATAAAGTTAAACATTTTACACAGATTAAAGTCCAACGGTATACGGTATTATCACGGTATTAAATTTAGTTGCAAAAAAGTGTTGTCATAATACAGTATAACAGGTTTAATAACTTCTTTCTTATAACAAAAATAACTGCACATTTCAATACAATAAAGCAATACGCAAAAAATTTTTATAAAGTTAAACATTTTACACAGATTAAAGTCCAAAAGAATTATAAAGACCAATAGGTATCACTTTACAATAAGATCTCATTAGTTAACCTTAGTTAATGCATTAACATTCACAATGAGCAATAGCTACGTTTGCAAAAATACAACTCTTAGTTCATGTTAGCTCAGTTGCAACTTTTGATTTTAAGATCATGTTATTAAATATTGGAATTACCTAAGATTAATGAATGAATGAATTAACTAATGTCAACTAATGAAGCCCTAATGTAAAGTGTGACCGAACAATAAAGTATCAAAACATGTTGTAGTCCAGATTAAAATGTAAAAAAGTTTGAAAATAAATAGCCTATTAAGTCTAAATATTTAAGTATTTGGCACTGTGATGAACACCATAGCGAATACACAAATCTGAATGGTTGTTTAAATACGTTTCAGAAACGGAATGTAGCGCAGCTGCTTTGTTTATGGGGTTTCCGGGGTAACGGCTGCATTTCTGCTGTCAGAGTGAATGTGCTTTCATCCAGAGCGTCTCTCACGAGTTCCGCCATGAGCTTCTCATCCGTGCTTGTTTACACGAAAGAGCGCATGCGTCTTTGACGCAGCATACAGCGGTTGTGCATTGTAACCAGTTGATGGGAAAAGTGTTCTTAAAATGCATTCAAAATTCGGAATAATTTGTAATAAATAATTATTCTCTGTATTTTGAAGTGCCCACGATAACATTATCGTGCATATTCATTATTGTGACATATCGCATTACAGAATACCGGCACATGTCTATGCAAGATCTAATGAGAAACATTCAAATTCTACACAGACTTATGTTATAAACAGTTCAAACAGCACTTACGTAGAAAACCAGAAGTAGTAACGCTAACTATAACCATGGTGTTGTGGTGGAAATAGTCGAATTTCATTTCATTATGCATTTCAAGGTTTGTACCTTTTGAAAGAGAAATTCATGAACTTTTCAATGACTATTTACTACCATTTACTTTATATACACACTTTAAAACTCTAAAAATTATCCAATTTTATTTTATTTTTAAAGGGATGACAAAAATATACTTTGTGGTAAACAAACACTCATGTAAAATTTAAAATACATTTTAAAAAGACAACAATTTACCACTATAACCAGCAGAGTGGCACTAATAGGCTTATTAGTCATTCATTTCTACTTTTTGCTTTATGTTTTGAAATGATAAAATTACTATAAAATATCAAATCATCAAGAAATCAAATTTTGTAAAGGTTTTGCTCTTTTTTTGTATATGTAGTAAGAAAAGTCACAAAGTGCCTTGAAAAACAAACTTCACTGCGACTGAATCACACAAAGCAAGAGTGCTCCTTTTATAATCACTGAAGTTGTCGGTCAGTTCTGTATAATACTATAGAAGAATAATGGTACATTTAATAAGAGTAGCATGTGTTAATTTTCTATATAAAACTATATAAAGACAAAAATATATTATTTCCTTTAGAATTTTTTTTTTTAAACTTTCAAGTTCATAATTTTCACGGCATCAAATAAGCAGAACTTTCAATCATAATCATTTTACCTGCTCCATATTGTACCCATGTTTTTCTTTGGCTATTGCAATGTACTCATCCACTGCAACAAACAAGGGAAAAATCATTATAATATAACTCAAAATTAAATCATGTCTAAAACTAAAAACCCTTGAAATATAAATATTTATTTCACATATAAAATACATTTCTTTATAGACTGACGAAAAAATATCTTATACAAAAAAATATTTCCTCCTATATTATAGCCTTCTCAATGCTATTGCATGCCTGATTTATAGGAGACCTATTATGCCACTTTTTATAATATGTAATATAAGTCTCAGGTGTCCCTAGAATGTGTCTGTGAAGTTTCAGCTCAAAATACCCCACAGATTATTATATCATTTTAAAAATGCCTATTTTGAGTGGAAGCAGAAGCATGTTTTCGTGCATGTCTCTTTAAATGCAAATGAGCTGCTGCGCCCCACCCCCTTTTCCAGAATAGGGCTGTGCCTTTATAGCTCATAGATACTCTGCTTAAAAATTGTGTTTGACTTTAAAGGGTTACTCCACCCCAAAATGAAAATTTTGTCATTAATCACTTACCCCCATGTCGTTGCAAACCCGTAAAAGCTTCGTTCTTCTTCGGAACACAATTTAAGATATTTTGGATGAAAACCGGGAGACTTGTGACTGTCCCATTGACTGCCAAGTAAATAACACTGTCAAGGTCCAGAAAAGTATGAAAGACATCCAGTATCGGGCCCGATACCGATACCAGTATCGGTATCGGTGCATCCCTACTTGACAGTGTTATTTACTTGGCAGTCAATGGGACAGTCACAAGCCTCCCGGTTTTCATCCAAAATATCTTAAATTGTGTTCTTAAGACGAACAAAGCTTTTACGGGTTTGGAACGACATGGGGGTAAGTGATTAATGACAAAATTTTCATTTTGGTGTGGAGTAACCCTTTAATTATCATGTCTATCTCACTGAAATCATGCATTTTAAACCATATTAGTTTAAACTTCTGATATACGGTTTTCTGAGTGCACACTTCTGAAGCACACGTACAGAAAGCGGCTGTCACACAGCATATGAGTACTAAACTAAGTTCTCTTTCATGTCTTATTACACTTAAACTGTCAAATACACACAAGTTTGTTAAAAACACGAGTTACAAAAACAGTCGGTTATGTCTGTGAAGGTAAACTGCTGGGAAATAAATTGCATGTTTATTTTAGATCTGTGTGGCAGCAGC